TGTAACGCGATTCACGGGAACCGTCAGCCGCGACCGCGCCCCAGAGATGACCGACCCTTTGTCGACGCGGTCATCTCAGGTGAGACGTTCAGCGCCCTCGTCGATACCGGCTCGTCGGTCAGTCTGATTGGAGATCGCGCCGTACGTCACCTTCGGACGTGCGGCATCGAACCCGACCAGGCTGACGTCAACTTACGCATGGCCAACGGAGCGAGTTGCCGTGTGTTTCGGATCGATACCGAGTAGACGACGCAATCTCTGGCCAACCTTATTCGCGGGATATCCATGCTTACCTGTCAATGGAGTCCATGCTTCAGTGAAACATATCTGTAATGATAATGGGATATCATTGTGCAGCCTCAGGCTAACTAATGTGGAGGAAATCAAAAAGATTGTTCTGTCACTAAAAAACAAATCATCCGTTGGCTGGGATGAGATCCCAATTAAATTGATAAAAGCCACTGTTAATATCATTGCTGAACCTTTATCTCAAATTATTAACCAGTGTTTAATACATGGAATTTTTCCGGATAAACTAAAACTTTCCCAAATCTCACCAATATTTAAAAAGGGCCTAAAATCGGATATTAACAATTACCGTCCAATTTCTGTATTGAGTAATTTTTCTAAAATATTTGAGAAGGTCATAAATTTGAGATTGGTTAGTTATTTTGAAAGCAATCATCTATTTTATAACAAACAATTTGGATTCAGGAAAAATTTAAGCACAGGTTCTGCACTAACACAGTTTATAAATGAGGTTACCCAGGCTTTGGACGGGTCTCAGGCTACAGCTGGTGTTTTCTGTGACCTGTCCAAAGCTTTTGACTGTGTTGATCACTCAGTCCTTCAGCTCAAGCTGAGTGATTATGGTATTAGGGGAAGTTGTCACTCTCTATTGAGTTCTTACCTTTCTAATAGAAAACAAAGAACTGTAATAACACTGGATAAGATCAAGTACTATTCGCCATGGGAAAACCTATCGGCAGGTGTGCCCCAAGGTTCAATCTTAGGTCCTCTATTCTTTCTAATTTACATTAATGACCTCCCTAAAGCTATTGATCAGGAACTAATTCTTTTTGCAGATGATACAACAGCCTTGATAAAAAATAATAGTACTTCTGAAATGCTATCTTCTCTTGAAAATGTGGTTCATGACATGGAAGGTTGGTTCTTGAACAATGGATTAAAACTTAATCTTGAAAAAACGCAAACAATAAAATTTTCTGTCAGAAACAATGGTAATAAAATTGAATCCCTTAAATTGGCAACGTCTCATAAATTTCTAGGTGTTTACATAGACGAATCACTTAAATGGGATGTACATCTGAATCAATTAAAAAGTAAACTTAGATCCATGTCAATTGTATTTCTGCACTTAAGGGACTGTGTTCCTAAAGAAACTCTGAAAATGGTTTATCATGCTTATGTAGAATCAGTATTGAGGTATGGTATAATCTTATGGGGTCAGGCTACCGGAGTCAAATCAATATTCAGGCTACAAAAACGCATTATCCGTATTATGACCAGCTCTCATCCACGTAGTTCATGCAAAAACCTTTTTCGAAATTTAAAAATCCACACCCTAACAGGACTGTACATCTTGGAATCACTAAACTACATTCATTCAGCTAAAAACGACCTCCCAGAATCAATTCAAATCAACCATAGATATAATACTCGAAATGAAAACATTTTTAGATTTCCAAGGCACCATTTGACCCTTTATGAAAAAAGTCCACTATATGCTGGGCTGAGGCTGTACAATGTGCTGCCTGCAAACTATAAATTGCTAAATGAAAATAATTTTAAAGATAAAATAGGTGAACTCTTAATTGACAGAGCCTTTTATTTAATTGCAGATTTTCACAATGCCCCTTTAGTTTAGAATAGTTTTATCATTCAATTTTGTTAATTATATTATCATCTTGATTACTATTTTATTTTTTATATTCTGACAATTCAAACCCTGACAATGCACCTATTCTGTATGTAACACATGTAAAGAATGTTATGTGCAAATAAAATATGTCTATGTCTATGTCTATGTCTATGTCTATCCACGTCCCGGGCCTAAGTGTGGAGGTGGTACTCGGCATTCGGTGTACTGCTGACCTCGCTCTAGTCAGAGTACACACAGTAGTACGAAACCTCCACAACGACGATGTCTCCCCGCCCTTTCCGGTCAAAAACATCAACCACGAAATCAAAATTTTCAAAATTACACGAAAAACAAACACAAAATTTGCAGAATTTCTGGAACGCGAAATACCGCTGTTTGACAACGATTAGGGGTAGTCGGCGTTGACTGAGCAGACGCAGTGGCTCAGGGCAATTGCAACCCCTGTCAAACAGAGGTATCCCAGAAATCCTGTAACGCAATTTATCGTAAAGGACGCTTTCCCGAGGCAACCCGTGGCAAACGAGGGCCAAACGGGCCTGGCCACGGTGAGTCACCTCACATCGGAGGTGGCCGACGTGCCTCGTGAACGTTCCAACAAACTAATTCGCCGAGACCGGAAAGATGACGCATCGAGGCCAACTGCGACGAACGACGGCCAATCGGGCCTTGTCGTGGTGAGTCACCTCACATCGGAGGTGGCCGACGTGCCTCGTGGACGACGCCCGACACGACGTAGATTCTCCGAAACCGAAGAGTATCGAACAACGCAACGAACTCCGACTCACGCCCCGACGGAGCTGGTGATATCCCTCCCATTGGTTGATACGATACGAACGATTACGACTAAACGACGACTTCTACACGCACCTCTTCTTCGAGACCATTCCGACCCAATCCGAACCCCTACGTTTAAGATCTTTTTTTCTTTTTTTTTGCTGAAGTTGGTAAGGGGTGTAAGGTGCCAAATTTTAAGGGGGGTAAAAACGTACTACGAATAAATGAACACCAGAACTTACCTGATTTTTAACCACAATAGCCTACTCTGAGGCCTATGTGTTGGCCATAGCTTGGGCTATGGGCCAAAGAACGTAGGCCTATTTTATTCACAGTGAAGTACACAAACACATCCACAACTACATATTCATTCATAATAGCACTTCGTTTCACATAATAAAGTTAAATCGGTCGATTTTACAGACATTTAACGCCGCCGACGACATAACCCCAAACTGGTGTTTATTTGTTGACAGACGACAGACGAAACTAGACCAGCTCAACAAGTGAATTCGATCAGCTGTTGTCTAGTAGTACTTGAGTTCGCCGCTTGAGCGCGTAAGCCTCGAGCGGGCAGGAACGAAGGATTTTACTCAAAGACAGGATTATTCGTTCGTACGCCGTCTTGAAAGTAACTTCGTCGTTACATCCACGCTCGCACGATAATCGACGCGACTGTACGATTTTGTTACGAAGGTTAGCTAGCATACTTAGTTAGGACCTTTTCACGTTTTACGTTATTTTCTTTTCAAGCAATTTTTAATCTATTATTCGTATTCGCTGTATTAAAGTCCAGATTCGAATGGTCTAAATTTAATAACTTTAACTTGAGTCTTGACCCGCCAGTTCCTGCTTGCCAGGGACTAGCGGTGGCCGTAAGTGTTGCATTCGTTTAATTTAATTCGTTATTAAATCTATCGTTTATTTGTTTCGCCGTTCAGATTTTATTCCCGTTTTACGTCGTTTTAATACCCCGAGACTTGTCGTCTAAGTTCTAAACCCCGTCTTTGGCGGGTGAAAGAATCAAGTCTTGGGAGCAGCTGATTTGAACAATCAAACAGCTACGAATATTAATATTAAATCTATTTTAAATCATCCCACGATAAATTCTCCATTCGATTATATTAATTAGGCCCCGACGACTCTGTAGGAATTGTTTTGCCTTTTATTCGATATTAAATCAATTACCAACGTCTTCAACTAATTAGTTTAAAGTTACGAGTATTTAAATCACATTGGCTTAAGATTGAATACTCGTTGGCCCTACAGAGTCATTCTAAAAGTTAGGCAAAATTCTCCAAAACACGTTAGCGAAGGTGAGGATGAAATAGCTCCTACTGAGCGTCTGCAGGATTTCCTGAGCGCTTCTAGAGCTCTGAGCCTTCGATTAAATTTTAAATAAATTGATCAGTCAAAGCCGTGACACCTTCGTATCGACCCCTGGATTTTTCTCGGCTCCTTCTGAGCACTCCGGGGAAGAAATTTGAGTGTGGCCGGTTCTAGGGGTAGGCCTAGCCTGACTTGGTGAATACTAGTTTATTCCCCCCCTAGAATTTTGCGTCACATCTCGCTCTAAACTGAATATTTTAAATCATACTGACTAAACTTGGTTAACAGAGATGGAGACAGAAATTTAAGACAAGGCTGCAAAACATTTTTCATGACCTCAAAGTTTATTTATGTAGTAACTAGCTGTACTCGCGGGCTTTGCCCCGTTTAACTTCTTAGTTTTCAAGATGAGCTCGTTCGCATAGCTCAATCACGTCCTGGTTGAAGTTCGTTTGCTACGCTCACTCACCTTTAGGTTGGAGCTCGTTCGCTGCGCTCACTTGCCTTCAGGTTAGCTCGTTTGCTACGCTGATTCGCCTCCAGGTTGAAGTTCGTTTGCTACGCTCACTCTCCTTTTGGTTGCAAATTAGCTGTTGTCATTAATTAAAAAAAATAATAGTGCTGCACCCTGTTGGTAATCCTTGTAACTTTAATGCTATTGAACATCATACTGTAGAATAGAACTTGCTTAATTGAAACAGCTGTTAAGATTCTTTAATTCCATTTAAATATGAGTACTCATAAGGTTAACATGGGAAACTCCAGAGCCACTGGGGCAGAGCCCAAAAGCCTGATCAGAATAAAAACTACTTAGGTTTCCTATTTAATGCCCAAAGAATCGGTGTACCGAATTTCAGCCTCCTATGTAAATGGGAAGTGGGAGGATTAGTAGTGATGAGTGAGTCAGTGAGGCCTTTGCCTTTTATAAATATAGATGGCACAAATAAGATTTAAAATGAAAATAACTGAGAAAGTTTGTACTCGATTTTTGTAGTGAAGGAGAGCGTTGGTACCAGTTTGTGGCCCGGCAGCTAGACCTGGACCTATTGCGTGATCCTGCGTTCCTGTCCATGTGTGTGGGTATGTCTGTAGCTCTAGCGTCTGACATGAGCTTCTCGCTACTACTGCCTTTCATCCTGAGAGACTTTGACTACGACATCAACACCACGGCCCAGCTTCAGTCTGTGGTGGGCGCTGCTGACTTATTGTCCAGGTTCATCACTCCGTTCATCTTGAGTAAGGTTGGACTCTCGGCACGGATTGCCTACTTGCTGAGCCTTATTGGACTCATCTGCAGCAGGTTTTGTGAGTAGATTTAAATTACATGCTTCAGGGGAGGTATTATTCATTGGTGTGGGCTTCACTCATCTTTCATTATTTTCTGGTAATATCCAGGACTAGTCAGGTACGAGGACAAACACACACCCATATTACACGCCATCGTTCTCAAATACCAAGTCAGACGTTTCATGAAATCTAAAAAAAAACATACTTATTTTTGTCCCGCAAGCAGTTTGAATGCCTGTCCGTGATTGACCGGACAAAAAAAGGTGATGAAACTTTTGATGATGAAAAAGGTGGGATCTAAACTTAACTTAACCCAATAGAATTTGTCAACTACAGTAGATTCTCGGTTTCTGGGGGTATATCTCAATGACGATCCTAGTGAGTTAAAACAATTTTTGTTTTGTAAAAGTAGAGCCACTCTCAAGGTGAAAAATATCTGAGTAGGAAGGGCTATGATAATCGATATGTTTGGGTTAGGGTCCTAGAGGTAATGAAATGAAATGAAATGAAATCAACTTTATTCATACTTTGCAAACATGTGCACGAATGGCATCATTACATTGGATCAAAATCATAATGCTTAATCCTAAAAAAGTACAAGATATAATCACTATTGAAAAAGTTCTTATTCTAATATATTATGTAGGAGGAAATATTCATTCTTTGAGTACAGGGGATTGGTTAAAAAAAAGTACATTTTTAGATTATTTTTAAATTTTTATAGTCCTTGTATAGTCCTTTAGTTTTGTTGGAAGAGCATTGTAACATTTTATACCCATATACATTATTAAAAAAAAAAATCTTAATCTATGTGTGTTGCATAGTTATTTCTGTTTCTGGTACAGTATTGACGAGAATCCCCTACCAGTGAGACATTATTTGAATTTTGGACAGTATATAATATACATTGATAGATATAATAGCTATATACAGTCATTATGCCTAGTTCTTCTAGAGAAGTTTGCTACTGCACAATGCGTTGGTGTGGAGTCGCATCTAGTTGGTCGGGTGTTGATGATGTTTTCAGAATTGTGTGCGTAACGACCGCGCCAACACAACTATCCCTTCCAATGCCATACCCCCAAAATGCAACTAGCCCACGGGTGATGAAGACTCATAAAACATCGAAGGAGAATTTCTATACCCAATGTTGCAGGATTCTGAAAAAGTCAATCAATAGAATTGAAGTCGGATTTCAGGTTTGACGCTGACTTCAGAGTTGTACAGAGTGTGTGTAGTGGTTGCACTGTTTGGAGCATCTAAGGGAGTGAGGTCAGTGTTCATGCCACTGGTCATCCCCAACTACGTCCCTCTAGACAAGCTACCCTCAGCTCAGGGGCTACAAAACGTCATGCACGGACTGTTCCTCATGATGCTGGGACCTGTCATAGGTAACTCCAACAGAGATATTATTGTTTGTACTGATCTTCCTTAGTGTTTGCGCTAGTGGAGTTTTCAAATGGACGAATCACACTTAATTTTAATGGAAAACGGTCCAAAACAATTAAATATTTACCACATTTTCAATTGAATGCCTCTTTAATAAATTAATAAAAGTACAACTCCTACAAACTAAAATAATCATTTGTCCTATAGGCTACATATTATTTTCGTAAAGTTTTAACTTAACTTAAGTAGGGGTGTGCGAATACTACTTTTTTTTAATCGAATACGAATCGTATAGAGAGAATTTCGAATCGAATTTGAATGTTTTCGAATCGAATACTTTCCCTTGAATAGTATTCGAATAGTGAACAATTTTTAACCGAATACTAACCCTCAAATAATGAAAACTTAAAATCAATGTCAAGTCAACTCTCAATAACTTAATTACTAAAACTGTTGGTATATTTTTTCAGAATAAGTTAAGTGTAGATTGTAAATGTATCTTTTGTTTATTTAATTTAGGCCTAGTTTAATTCAATAGGTAAATGACCTTAGATAATAAGTAAAGGTACAAACATGAACCAAGCTTTATTAGTCAAAATTATAAAGCACTACCAATAACAAATTTTGTAAAACACATTCAACCAATTGGGTAGTGATAATCATTATAACCACATAAAAACGCACTTTGTTTTCTTTTACTAAGTAGGGATTTAGGCCTACAACTTACTGTCAGCCCTAAGTATATGTTTAAGAACATAAACTTTAAAAAGGTATTCCTAAAATAAAACTTGTTGTCATAACTTAACATAGCCTAATCTCATGACTTGGGCTTAGGCTACTGGACAACTAGGTTTGAAGGTACAAGAACCTAGGCCCTATTTTTAACCATTTACAGTACCTAGTTTAAATCTTCGATTGAAATAATAAAGCCCCTTTTAGCCTAAATGTAGGCTAACTTAAACTTAGGCATTTTTAGAATGAGTTTATCAAGTTACATAAATGTATAATTATTAACTTTTAACCTACTTTTAAGGACTTTTTACACGTGATGCATTCTGCAACAGAGTCCTTTTTGACGAAAAAATCCCAAATTAAACTCCTTTGCTTATTTTTGAATTCTTGTGATGATGTTGAAAAAACATTTAGGCCTAAATCGGCTTCTTCATCTGAATCCATCTTGTGTCATTCAACCAAACTTAAATGAAGCCTAGGCCTACAACTTTTAGGCAATATCCAACAGTATAAAAGCAACTGTTGTCAAAATATACAAAAATTGTTACTAAGTTTAGCTGAAATACTTAGCGCAGACGTGCTGCTAAACAAACTGTCTCTAAACTCCAATCTCAAAACTTCTTGTCTTTTAACACAGCTTGCGCTAATGCAATAGAAAAAAGAAATAACTAACTAGAGAAGCAGAAGAATAGAAGCAGACTTCCATAGCAAGTGCGAATTACGTTTTACTCTGGGATCACGGCAAATCTATCTAGCAGACAACATTGGTATATTTCATATTTCAAGTTTATAAAGGTGACGGTGCGCGTTTTGGTACCATGTATAAGATAACTCAGTATAATTTGTTCCGGTATCTTATTCGCCATCACTTTTTCAGTTTTACTTCACTCGAAATAGACACATCAACGTCGTATGCTAGATTTATGTAGGTCTACCGTGATCCCAGAACAAAACGTAACTTGAACCCGATCGCCATCGCCAAGAACAATGAAGGCGGATGAATGTTAACGTAATGTTTTACAGCACATAATGAGTTTAATAATGTTGAAAAATAATAAAAATAAAATATCTAAGTGAGTTTTAATTAAATATTGTATTGCATTTTTATTTAATCTGAAGCAGCTTAACAGTTTTTATTTATTTTCAAACCAAGTTAGAACGGAACTATTTTACCGACCTTGTTTATTTGGCTAATGGTGGAGGACATTATTTCATCGGAAACTCACAACACGATTACACAATAGTTGAAAATGAAACGTTGTCACTCGATAGTCGATAGAAACTGATTACTATTCGTATTTTAGCCCGATGGTAATTTATTATTTATTACTTGAAACACTTTTTTGGCCAACTTGATTTGTTTTATGTTTTCCAAAGCTCCAACTAATTATGTGACCAGATGCGAAGTATTCGAAAAGGTCCGAACTATTCGACCACCTTCGAACTATTCAAAAAATCGAATACTCGCAGATAGAACGAATCTAATCGAATAGTAGTTTTACGATTCGATTCGAAATTTTCAATATTCGCACACCCCTAAACTTAAGTAACTTAAGTTTTAACTTGTTCTCTTTTGCTGTAGTACTGTAATGAGAGGGTGGGATTTGTAAACCAATGCATTTAGCATAATCAATGCATTTAAGATCATGCCACACTTAAGTAATGTAACCATCTTAATATCACATTATAGGCCTAATTTTCTTTTGAGATCTTTTAGCGAATTTCCTATACAGAGAATAAGCTATTACTGTATGTTTTCTGGTAAGTCCTTACCTGGAATCACTTACTTTTTCGTTTTGTTGTTCCCAAGGGCAAAAACACCATCCATTCAAATTCATACATACATATGGTCAAATTCATATACATTTTCTTTTCAATCCATATTGTAGAACTAAAAAAAAATAGTAAGGGACATTAAAACTTAGTTGTATGTCTAATGGTTACAGAAAAAAAACTATAAATGTAAAATTGTCATGTTAATCTTATGTAGAATAAGTAAACTGTTGTAGTTTGCTTGTTTATGGATATATTTTGATCAAATTTGGTAAATCTTTTTTATTTCATACCAAGCAATTTACATTTGAATAAAAAAACACAAATTATAACATTCCTTGTAGCAGCAAATCCAAGTACTCACTAAACCTAATGTTATTAAAATGGGGAATAAATCTAAAATATTTGAAGGAATACTTCAATGGAAATCCGATCAGGCAAATATAAATGTACTTAGTCAGCAGGTTTGCAGCGGTAGTATTCTACAATGTGTTAGCGTTAATTTTTTTTTGTAAAATAAATTTTAGCCTTGATTTATCATGCCAGGTTATGTGAGAGACAAGACTGGAAACTACACTCTGTGCATCCACATCATGAACAGTCTCACAGCACTGACTATACTTCTGTGGACTGTGGAGTTTGTGTACATGAGGTCCAAGAACAAGAAGAACACATTCAAAGATGTCGCCGACATGGAAAGATAGTCCATATTAATTATTATGAGAATATTAATTTCTATGCAAAAATGTGCTTAACTGAAATGCAGATACTCATTAAGTACTCTTTATGTACACTGGAGTATCAGCATAAGCTGGACACGTCCTATGCTTATGGAAAGTATTAGAATAGATAAAATTGTGGTTTAAGATAGTTCCTTGAATAAGGATTTGAAAGTAAAGGTTTGAATTGGAGTAAATCACAGTTCTTGTGATAGTTTAGGTCAAAGTAAAGAGACCTAGACATACATTTTTCAATGGCAACTAAAGAGCCTTATGTTACTTAGAACTTTTTATCTCCTAAAACCAATTGTTTCTGGAGCTGAGTTGTTCAATATCTCTTATGGGTTTACTAAAAATCGTACATCTTCCACCAATGTTCATAAAAATACAATAAAACGTCAGTTTAACTTGTCTGCGTGATGTATTAAAAATGTAAAATGTAGTTATAACAAGATTTTTTGATTTCAGAGAGTTTATAGTTGTTGAGTTAAGGTTAATGTTTAACCATATCAGCTATTTTTTACCTAAAACTTCAACCAATTTACCAAATAATGAAATAATACTTAATGCTTTTGATAATTGGAATACTTACATAGGAAGTACTGGATAATCAAGTGGTTATAGAGCTTGCCTAGCAACAAAAGGTTGCCAATTCGATCCTGAGATACTTAAGTAGCATTTGATAGTTAAAAACTGCCTAGCTGTCCACGATTGTCGGCTTCTTTTAAATTATCCTGGTCATAAAAAAAAGGTGATCTGGGTCAGCAACAAAACTACACAGATCATCCCAAACCATTGTACACCCACTCTGCTGATATGGGTCAGCAACAACACTACACAGATCGTCCGAAACCATTGTACACCCCTCTGCTGATCTGGGTCAGCAACAAAACTACACAGATCATCCCAAACCATTGTACAGCCACTCTGCTGATCTGGGTCAGCAACAAACCACACAGATCATTCCAAACCATTGTACACCAACTCTGCTGATCTGGGTCAGCAACAAAACTACACAGATCATCCCAAACCATTGTACACCCACTCTGCTGATCTCGGTCAGCAACAAAACTACACAGATCATCCCAAACCATTGTACACCCACTCAGCTGATCTGGGTCAGCAACAAAACCACACAGATCATCCCAAACCATTGTACACCAACTCTGCTGATCTGTGTCAGCAACAAAACTACACAGATCATCCCAAACCATTGTACAGCCACTCAGCTGATCTGGGTCAGCAACAAAACCACACAGATCATCCCAAACCATTGTACACCCACTCTGCTGATCTGTGTCAGCAACAAAACTACACAGATCATCCCAAACCATTGTACAGCCACTCTGCTGATCTGGGTCAGCAACAAACCACACAGATCATCCCAAACCATTGTACACCAACTCTGCTGATCTGTGTCAGCAACAAAACTACACAGATCATCCCAAACCATTGTACAGCCACTCTGCTGATCTGGGTCAGCAACAAACCACACAGATCATCCCAAACCATTGTACACCCACTCTGCTGATCTGTGTCAGCAACAAAACCACAGAGATCATCCCAAACCATTGTACACCCACTCTGCTGATCTGTGTCAGCAACAAAACCACACAGATCATCCCAAACCATTGTACACCCACTCAGCTGATCTGGGTCAGCAACAAAACCACACAGATCATCCCAAACCATTGTACACCAACTCTGCTGATCTGTGTCAGCAACAAAACTACACAGATCATCCCAAACCATTGTACAGCCACTCAGCTGATCTGGGTCAGCAACAAACCACACAGATCATCCCAAACCATTGTACAGCCACTCTGCTGATCTGGGTCAGCAACAAACCACACAGATCATCCCAAACCATTGTACAGCCACTCTGCTGATCTGGGTCAGCAACAAACCACACAGATCATCCCAAACCATTGTACACCCACTCTGCTGATCTGTGTCAGCAACAAAACTACACAGATCATCCCAAACCATTGTACAGCCACTCTGCTGATCTGGGTCAGCAACAAACCACACAGATCATCCCAAACCATTGTACACCCACTCTGCTGATCTGGGTCAGCAACAAAACCACACAGATCATCCCAAACCATTGTACACCCACTCTGCTGATCTGTGTCAGCAACAAAACTACACAGATCATCCCAAACCATTGTACAGCCACTCTGCTGATCTGGGTCAGCAACAAACCACACAGATCATCCCACACCATTGTACACCCACTCTGCTGATCTGGGTCAGCAACAAAACCACACAGATCATCCCAAACCATTGTACACCCACTCTGCTGATCTGTGTCAGCAACAAAACTACACAGATCATCCCAAACCATTGTACACCCACTCTGCTGATCTGTGTCAGCAACAAAACTACACAGATCATCCCAAACCATTGTACACCCACTCTGCTGATCTGGGTCAGCAACAAAACTACACAGATTATTCCAAACAATTGTACACCCACTCTGCATTCTTATTCAGTTCAGCGAAACTAAAAGTTGATGTTACAGTGACGTAGCCAGGATTTCAAAATAGGGGGGGTCAACCGACCGGAGGGTCTGGGGAGTATTCCATACTTCCCAGGTAAAAGGGGGGTCCGGGAAAAATTTTAAAAATATAGGCCCTAAAACGGTCTTTTTTAGCTCTCTTGGCATTGAAAATAATCAACCCCAACGTCAATACAGTATGATTATATAATTTTACATTTAATTTAACAAGAAAATATTATATTTAAGACCGGAAGCGGGGGGTCCGGACCCCTAGGACCCCCCCCCCCTTTGGCTACGTCACTGGTTAAGTGATGTTTGATGCTCAAACTAAATGCTCAAAATACTCTTTCACAATTGATCAATTATTTGTAATTTTATACTTATCCATTTTATACATCATAAAATGTCTGGATGTTTTTAAATCATCCTCACAAAGAATATTTTGTTTGTAATTGTAAATGTGTACTGTAGGCGTTAGTTATTACTAAGCAAGCAAGTATATATTTTGTATTATTCATTCAGAGTTTATATTTCAAATCATTTGTTAACTAGTATAGCATTGTAAACTGTAACCCTAAGCAAGCAAGTATATATTTTTGATTACTCGTTCATAGTTTATATTTCAAATCATCCGTTAACTAATATAGCACTGTAAACTGTAACCGATTTCATAACAATCGTTATTGCAGTAGAGTTATCTTAATCTAAAAACCGCTTCTAAATGTTCTGGTCAATCAAAATGCATTCAGAAGTTAAATGTTGTTAGAATTTGGTCTTCTTGTTCTTAAATAAAAGAAGAGATCTTAAGAGGTAAAACGAAAAAAATATTGTCCAAGATTCAGCCTCTAATTGACAACTACACACAGAAATACGGTACTATATAAAGTACACTTAATTCACAAATGAAATGACTCTTGATGGAGACAATGCTGTACAATTGGTGAGCCAACTGTGTTTATTTTTAGTGTATCCATGGCCTTGTCCTTGGAAATGGTTCTTGGACCTAATTTGTTGTTACTAGTGAAATACAATTTTGTTAACATAGCAATATTCCCAGTATCCCACTAAAAACTGTTTGCTTTTGAAAAAGTTCTGATCACAATTCGTTTGGATTAAGATACTCTAAAGCAATTGCATATTTTATCGCGTACTTATTTCTAGAATGATAAGTGATGATGATGTGTTAGTTTTAAATTTAATCATCCAAAACAATTGTCTAACAATATATCCATTTAAAAAAAGAGAATTTATTTACAGTTATTTGTCTTGTTGTATTAGCACAAATGTGTAATTATTTGCGCTCATTGTTACTTTAGGTTAATGTAATCGTATTCACCATTCAGTTAATTTGTGTGTTTTATACCTAATGTTTTAGATATAAATAAATAAAACTTTACCAAAATTTATAAAATTGAGAAGTGATATGTTCCTTTGTTTTATGCTTTTAAAATTAACTTTCTTTGCATTAGTCAAGATTTTAAAATAAGCTATTTGGCAAGATATTTAAGTTATTTTAGTTTGAGTGTTCTGCAACCAGACCCATGCAGTCTTATGAAATTGTCTTCTTTCATACTCTATTTACAGCTCAGCTGCTAAACCAATTATGTCTTAATTTACAAGATTGCAATTTATTTATATTTACAACACATGATTTTCAAACCAGTCCATAAACATAAACATCACAAATCACAATTTACAAAATATTGAACCAATTTGACATTCCAAGATTTTCTAAATTCCAAGTGAATTTCTCATAACTCAACCATCTTAATGACTCAACAAATTACACAGATTTCAAATTTATTAGATGTTTTATACAACAGTTTTTGCTTGGCAAATGCTATGAAAATAACATGACACTTTCACATTGCTGTAAAAGAAAGTGCAGTAACCCTAACCCATGCAAATGTAGTCCGTGCAATCAAGAGTATTCGGGCCAGTGTTCTCCTGTGCTATCCTCTATTGCTAATGAATCTCCCGCTATACAACTGTACACTCCTGTGCTTGCTTCTGCACCTCTATCCAACAAGTGTTGCAGTTGCAAGGAGAAGGCAAAGAAGAGTTTGTGGCAACAACTGTTTGGTGGCAGCAAATGTTGCAGATCTACACCCGTTCAAAAGAAAAAGAATGAATGTTGTTGTAAACAGAAAAAGTCTAGTTGTAATAGTGAATATGTGAAACCACTTTGCTGCAAGAGTGCTAAGCCAACTCCCCCACCAGCCGTCAAGCATGCATGTTGCTGCAGGAAAGACAACATTTACAGATGTAAATCAACCCCCAAACCTTGCTGCCTGACTCCAGAATCAGTTTTTGGGTGGCATTTTTATTGTAATTTGGAGAATTGTGGAACTAAACAATCGAGGCACAAATGCCGTTGTTGTTCAACAACCACTACCAACACAAGTGAACAGACGAGCGATGTCCCCGAAACTACTACTGATACTACAACTGATTGCGAGAAAACTACTTACAGTTATAAGTTCAAAAACAGTGACGAGGTTTCAAACAAGTCCCCCATCCCTTCAAGAAGGTCTTCTCCGTTGCCAAAAAATTCTTTTCACTCTTTTAAAAAGACCTCATATGAAGACACCAAAAAAGTTTTTGAAGAAATGCCAAAAAAGAGTTCTGAAATAAAGGAACCAGATAGACCTATTCCCAAACCTGCTCGTAGTAATTACCACATAGGTCTTACTTTCACCAACACAGATACAATGTATTACAAAAGCAATGCCAGATGTCCTCCTAAAGAAGAGGGCTTGAAATACAATGATGATGGTGCAGAAAGTAATGGTAGTTCAGAAAAAATAATCAGATTAGAAATACACCAAAGTGATAGTAATAGAGATAAAGTAAAACATGAAAATCGAGAAGATAATAGAAGCTGGGATGAAGAAGTTTTAAGTACAAATTCATCTAAACGTCGAAAAATATCTACTTCAGAAGAAGGAGAATATTACTCTCAAAGAAAGTCGTCAATTGATTCTAGAAAAAACAAAGAAAATAAATACGTTGATGAATATGATAACGATGGTGTGTTGGTGGCAAACAGAGAACAAAAATTATCATTAAAAAACGTTGAGGGTAATGACCTTGATAAAAGAGTCTTTGAAATAATTACGAGGCTACAAAACATTGAAAAAAATATCAATAGTATTGGTTGTAAAAAGGAGAATGACATGCTGATCCTTAATACTGACAGGAGTAAAAGTGAAATGTCTTTTCAATTCAGAGATGTGAAAAACAATGATAGTTTAGATAGAGATGGCAATTATCATAGAAATAAGCCAAAAACTGTAATAGAAATAAGAAAATGTAGATCCAACTCACATTCTCTGGATGGGAAACAATCCTTAGGTAAAAAGAAATATCACTCGCAGTATTTTGACAGAGAACCAAAAAACCCTAAATTGGTAATCGAACTTCCACCTGGTAATAAAGTTAGTCATGGTTTTATTTCGGTGTCTAGCAACAGAAAGGTCAAGGATTTAGACTTCCACGACTCAGAATGGTTGGAAGTCGCAAACGAGCTTAAATATCAAAAGCATAAAAACTCCCCTTGTTATTGTTACGAATGTGTTTGTAAGCGGGTTAAGTGTCAATAATGTTATTAGGTAAAAAGTATATGGTATTATAAAATAAAATCAGAAACGTTTCAACTATAATATTATATTTAGGCTATATTTTACACTAATTAATATGATTGTACACATAATGTCAGCGACTTGAAAAGTATATTCCACTTGCATTTATATAAGAAAATATGCAAAATTTCCTTTGATTCCTCTACCAATAAATCAATAAATAAATCTTTATCATTTATTTTCCAAATGGATAAATTACGTATTATTTTTGGAAATATGAAAGTGTATTTAAAATATAGTTTAAGCTAGTTACAACAAACCAAAAAGCTGCGACTACACAGGTTTAAAACCTTTTTTGTCAACAATTGATGTTAACAAAAAGGTTTTAGGTTTTGTTTTAAACACAAAACAGGTGATTTAAACAAATATTTCCAACTTCTCGTAAAAAATTAATTGCTGTTCTAAAAACTGGAAAAATGTTGAAAACCTCTGGAGTGGTGTGGTTTTTTGTGTTGGTTTGCCACTAAAATTAAATTATACCAGTACAGTAGAAGTAATGTTGCTTTAAAATATTACGACGTTCCTTAACAGCCTCAGTTTTATTTTGAATATTAAATTTTTCACGGAATTCATTGCTATCTAAGTCAATAATAACAGGCCATTTCAAATGCTGTTACAAATAATTTTTTTTAAACATACTAGCTGGTTAGCTCGTCCTACGTACGGGAATCAAGTAGTAGATAAAAACTGAATATAATTCAGAACTGCTAGTTTACACGCTTAAAGAAAAATTCTGACAGTTTTAATAGGGATCATCACCTTGTAAACTAATACCACATAACCATCTATTGTTTTCATCCGATTACAGGCCTATACGATACCATAGACAAAAAGAATTAAATATAGACCATCAGCTGTGCTGCGGTTACCATAGGTTCTGGCGCACACCGCTGGGAGCGCCATGTAGTTACGGCGTATGTGCAACGTAACTACACTTGAACCTATGGTAACCGCAGCACGGCTGACAGTCTATATATAATTCTTTTTGTCTATGACGCATTTGAAATCCGATAATTTTACAATAAAACTGAAATTGTGTCGATTTGAAAAGCCTTTAAGTTAGATTGGCGGTCGCGGTTGATTCACACACACTGGTTTAAAGTACATCAGCTACATACCACCTTTAATTGCATATTATCACTTCACTAACCGTACCTTATTTTACCTCAGTGCCCACTGAAACCTTAAGAGGATTTTGGCCTCCCATTATCTTCTATCCCTTGCCTCTGCTAATTTTGATCCCAGTCTGGAGAAGTCTTTCATTTCTTGGTCCTGAAAATGGTCGTCTTATTTGTGGTACTCATTGGAATTCATTTTTAAAAGTTAATGTATCTTCTCTCCTCCACACATATCTGGGTGTTTAAATATTCCTCTTAGCTCTCTGTTCTTTTGTATCTCAACCTCCGTTATCATAAATGGTCCGTATATTTTCTCTGCACTCTATTTTTTAAACCCAGCAATAAGGTTTTCGGTTCTTTGGTCAGTGCCCAGGTTTCTGAACCATACACTACTGGGATAATATGGTATGATATGAATCCAGTTTGGTATATACTGACACCCTGCAGCTTATTGGACGGTTTTATAGAGACCTACTACACCGGTTGACATTGACCAACCAAAAATTTGGTATGCCAACATAGTCCTGACATTATTAAATAAATCGTCCATACCTATCCTTTGTATCAATTTTACTGCATTAACTGCTAAATAAATTAGTAAACAAAGAAAAGTAAAAACAATAACAGATAGTTTTTTTTAACAGATTTTTAGATAAACTAACATTCATTTGAAAAAAGAACTTGTCATCTGTGGAAGGAATTTGATAAAGTAAACTCTCTACAGTAGTAAGCTAGTGACATAATTTGTCTATGTTTATCATCCATACCATTATCCGTTCTACTGTGACAATTACCCACTACCATTGAATCTATGTAGCCTACATCCTAATTTCACATATTCATTTATCCAAACTATAAGATCTTTAGTTGAAAAAAGGTGATATTTTGCCTACATCAGCGAACCCAAATGTAACCACACATGAGCACGAGCCAAACGTTTTAGATTTTGACTCTGAATGTTTACAGCTGTTAGTTAAGCAAATGGTTTTATACCAAAAGCTAATCTAGAATGTTTGCGTCGGCTGCTAGACTTTTAAAAAATCAAATCTTAATTTCTAAAAAACTGAAACCCTAATCTAAAATTATGGCTTCGACATTCCCTAGGTTTCAAATTATCTTTCTTTCAACACAAAACCATGAAAATCCGTCAAGTGGTTGATTCAGAATTGTATATTGTTTAAAATTTCTTCCATAAGAATTACTGTTATTACAAATTTAAGAACTGTGGGGTGGATTCCTGGAGGAGTTTTAAGTAGCTGCTCAGTCTTTAGCTCCATGTTCAATCCTCGAAGAGGTGTTTGCTTGCAAACATTTAAGGAGTCCGCTCAATTAAATATTTATAGCAAGTATGTAATAAACCTTTAGAGAATAAAACTTAGGTTTTATTAAGCAAAACTGAATACAAGAATTAAACAGAATAAATAAACAAATCTGACTAAAACATTAAGAATGTCAGCTGACATTTTGTACAGTACTTAAAATATCACCACATTCTTCCGCTCTAGTAAATTTTATACACATCAAATTTCTTAGGTAACACCTTTGGTATGGTTGACCGACGTGGTGACACAAAGGGATGAGGTTGATTGCAAGGAGTGCTGCTGGTTTGATGTTCATCATTTTCAGGAACACCATCTGACGTTGCTGGTGGTAAACATAAATCTGTATAGTTTTGAAGGAGCGGTTGTGACGAAGTAGTGTTCTGTTCCAGAAGGAGCGATTTTGACGAGGTAGTGTTCTGTTCCAACTGTTCATCACCGTCTTCGTTTTCATAAGTAAGATTTGTTGGATTTTGCATTACTTTTTCTCTTGGTGCTAGATATCTTAAGGACACAATTGACTCTCTTCCTTCTTTATTGCGGACTAAAGAATATTTTGGGTTTGTCTCAATTACTTCAACCTCTTCGACCAGTGGGTCAAACTTACTGCCTCTTATGTGCTTCTTCTTAAGAACTTTTCCTGGAATAGTCAGCCAAGTAGGGATAGTTTCTCCTAAGTACTGTACAAAATGTCAGCTGACATTCTTAATGTTTTAGTCAGATTTGTTTATTTATTCTGTTTAATTCTTGTATTCAGTTTTGCTTAATAAAACCTAAGTCTTATTCTCTGAAGGTTTATTACAATTTATTAAGCAAAACTGAATACAAGAATTAAACAGAATAAATAAACAAATCTGACTAAAACATTAAGAATGTCAGCTGACATTTTGTACAGTACTTAGAATATCACCACAAAGTTTTACTTGATGTTTTATTGTCATTTAATTTTTGTATTCAGTGTTTTCTTGTGAGTAGATTCAAGATTGTCTAATAAGGAGGCAAATGTTAACGTTTAAACAACATTAAATTAATCAGTTTTAATCTCACATGTTGAAGAGTAGGAAGGAGGAATATTAGGACAATGTGTACAACACAGTAACCAATCAAAAAAGTTTTATAAAGATTAATTTTGTGAAAACAGTATAAGGTACTTGTAATAACTTGTACTTGTACACCTTAACAGTAAGTAATTTTAACTATGAATATTAATAATTAATACTTACTTAAGAAATGTAAAATATTGTTTACGGAAGGACTAGATGTTTAAGCAGATGGTATTTTTTATCTGACTAAGTTAAAATAATTGAATCATTGTTAAAAGTTTGTAATTTCACTTCTATCTTTGACTCTTATATTTACAAGAATCTTAAATAGCCTACTAAATAAATTATTAAAAGAGCACTCTTATTTCATTTGTGATTGTAGTACTACTGAAGTATGTACAGTATGTATAAAATATAAGTAGGTTAACTCAAATATGTAAAAAGTTAAAATTCTGTAACATAAATTATTCAGTAGCATACAAATGTTAAAACAATCCAACAGATGATTGAGCTTATTGTTTAACAAGTCAAGTAATCACATTAACCTTGGTAGAAAGCATGTTGGGAGAGATAAGAAAATGTAAGTATAAAAAATGGAATTTTTGAGTCTCAGTCGGTTTTAACTTTAAATTTGTTTATAATAGACTGTATCCTAGAGTTGTGGTAGAGGAAGACGGATAAGATTGCTCCAGTGCAAGCTCCAATCCAGTAGACAAACACGTGCTCGGAGTGAGTGTGGCCTTTGCAGCCGAACTTGAGAGCACTCGCCAGCACAGGGTTGAAGTAGCCTCCAGAGTAGTTAAATGCTTCAAAGGAAAAAGCAAATGTTAAAGAGCAGTGGAAATGTATAACCAAAGAATAATTTTAAAAAGTAAAGAGATAAAATGTGGGAATAAAAGTGGTGAAGCTCAGGCCTCCTCCAACATTTCAGAATATTTAATATAAAAGTTATCTTGTCAATAACCAGTTCATGTCATATTCCTTAAAAACTGTAAAGCTTTAAAAACGTTGTCTAGAAAATAAGTAAAACATTTCTTCTTTTGTATCTATGAAGTACAAGAAAAAAAATGTACCTTGTAGAAGGTCCCCTGACCAAAAATGTACCTTGTAGAAGGCCCTCTGACCAAAAATGTACCTTGTGGAAGGCCCTCTGACCAAAAATGAACCTTGTAGAAGGCCCCCTGACCAAAAATGTACCTTGTAGAAGGCCCCCTGACCAAAAATTCCTGTTTTTCTCCTTTAAATTGTATTTTCTCAATGCTACTAGGTGTACAAATATCTGAGGTTGAGAAAAAAGAGAATTAAAAACTAATTGACTTTCAAGCCATGCAATGTTTTAATGTATTCATAAAGTTAATTAACCCTAATTAATGACTTACCAGCAACAACCAACGAGGTTCCTACAAATGAGTCGTAAGCGGCAGCGTACTTTGGCCCCACTTCTCCAATAGCTCTAGAGGCTAGTCTACACAGGCATGTTGCAATACCCTCAATTATTGCGCCTGCTATCGGTGATACCTGAAACATTATTACAATTTATCATTTGCGGTTGCTTATACTGAAGTGGCATAAACAGCTCCTGCAGCTTTTCTGTGTTACTCCCATACTAAGCTAATGAATACAATCAATAACTGCCAACTGGACTACAAATATTCAAACCACCATAACTTTGCACCCAAAGTTGGTAAGATAACGTTAATTAGGTACTTTTGTTGAGTTAAGAACAAGAACTATTTCAATTAGGCCTACAGCATTCCAAACTTGTTTGTTCATTATTCAATTCTACTTTTCAACCAATTGAGCTCGATCTTTTTCAAAGAAACTTGTCATACGAACTATGTGAAGTGCAACAAATGCTAAGATTATCAATTGCATATTAACAAACTGTAATGTCAACTTTATCCTTTCGTGATTATAGAAACCACTTTATTTTAAACCTTACAACTAATTTCTTAAGTTTAAAATTACCATCTTATTATGCTACCACCGTTTCCTGTTGTGGAGTACTTGTTAAGATACAGTAGAGTCCCGCAAACTCGGCGTAATGTGGACTGGAAGGGTGCCGAGTTTGTGAAATGCCGGGTTATCGGGAACTAGAGTTAAAAATAAGAACGATAACATTTTTTAGCTTTTTAACCGCCTTTTTTAATTAGATTTATATTATAAGTCAGTATTAAGTCATAGGATATAGTACAACAAATCCTTAGTACGAGTTACAAATGATCATACTAGAGCTGACTAGTGTCCATGTTTAACTCGGACAAAAAAAAATTACTAATTTTCTGAGCCAGGTGATGGCCCAGTTATCCAGACTGCCGGGTTATCGAGTGCCGAGTTTACGGGACTCTACTGTACTAGTTTTTAAATGTATTCAAATTAAAGCACATTGAAAAGCAATTTGCTATTTCATCTCTCGCTTTAAACATGAATATTGGCTGTGGCACTTCAGTAGGCCCCCATTGATAAAAATCAAGGTGGAAGGAAAAGTGCTAAACTCTTTATGACACTAACATCAGTTGGTATATCTCACTACTTATAAACAAACAAGTTAGTAGTAAACAGACTTAGTAGGTTTACCTGAAGATCAGCTGAACATCTTTCAAAAGCCCTTCCTTTATGTGTTGATGAAACCTCCAACTGCCACAGAAACTGGATATATCTGTAGAAAATTGTTTTGATTACATACAAGTTTTACCTACAATAAAATATCATTAGTGTTAAACACTAGCTCCTTCGTGATGTTCGATGATATAGCTAATATTCTGTTGTATAAGGAATCCAGGAGTAGTAGTTATTATATGGCAAAAGTAGCGTCTTTGACTATTAAAACAACTTCAGTATAAATCCATCACTATTTAGAGTAAAAACCCATACAGTGATTCAGAGCGGAGCGGGCAAAGCAATCCAGAGCAAGCTGTAGCGGCGCGTCTGTGAGCGACTGACGTCGCACACATGCAGCGACTAGCGAGAGCGATACGAACGGGAGCTCGATCATTTCCAAGATATCACATAGTAAGTTCACACGCAATTTGCAGCACAGCTAAAAGCACATGGCTAAAAACATTAATTTTGCGTGCTTCAAACCGATCGGAGTGGTTGCATATATGGAGTGAGTGGAGGAAGGGATGTACATGGTGAATATCACCATTTGTTTCCAGTTCTTAAGAAGCATTAATCACGATTCATGCAATCTACCTTGACCTTTGAATACATTCTTTCAAAAAAAGAAGGTTTGAAGGTTCGAGAAGGTTCCAAAACGCTCTGGGTTCCGGTAGAATGGGCATACAGAGCGGCCTACTGGCGAAAGTGCAACTAAAAATGTCCACAAGATCGTTGCCCGCCCCGCTCCCAAACGCTAGATAAACAAACGAGATTGTTCCAAAGTTAACTGCTCCGCTCCGCTACGATCGCAACAGCGGTTTGTGTGCACGTTACTACTTGATTGTATAGGTTTGATATTGTTACTCTAAATCGCGCCGCTCCGCTCCACTCCCAGTCACTGTATGTGTGTTTCTACCCTTAGAATAATACATCAATTGGCAAGGACATTGCTTTGGTTATATTTTTCACAAGGACTAATGACAAAATGAACATATAAATTGATTATAACAACTATTTAAAGTATGCTAGTGTGCTTGTGTTAGCAAATTTCCCATATAGGAAATAAGCTATTTTAATAACAGAATGCTCTAGTTTAGCTGCATTTCTTTTGGCATCCATTTATTACAACAGTCCTTCAATGTTCAACTATATTATTAAGTACTTGAAGCATTTTACAATATATTGTTTTCCTCGTGGAATTTTACTCGCCTTGAAACTGAAGAAGTCCTTAAGTAATAACATGCAATTAAATTAAATTAAAGTACATTTATCAACTTTAAAACTTTTTGTTTGCTATCCGAGGTTCAGGAACTTATTTTACATTTACTTCTTTATTGCCTTTGCTTTTGGGTTGTAAGTCAGTATATCACCCGCTACCCGCTTGTGTGGAATCTTCAGGAAGGCTTCTTGTGCTACCTTCTTGTTATCATTTACAAAGCTAGCTCAAATACCCCCCTAAACAAAAAGAAGACTATACCAGCTCTACAATTTTCAAATTAATCTACCACATTGAAACTGGCCAAACTAAACGAAACTGGCAACATCTACAGAGATGAAAGCATCCTCCTGACCACAACCCTGGAAAATCTTTACTCTCAGCCATCGCACATTCCAAATTCCATCACCCTTAGTCCAAGAAATGAAATGGAGGAAGAATGAAACTTTGGAAGATCTCCGTGAATGGTTTACAGCTAATGGCCTGGCACTAAACAGTGATAAAACAAATTTCTTATTTTTTAACAAATCGAATATGACAGATATTTCAAAACAAAAATTTCTCGGAGTGATCATTGACCAAAAATTAAATTGGAAGGATCATATTGATTATTTGTTAAAAAAATTAAGATCATTCTTTTTTGCTTTTTCAGTTCTTTCTCAGTGTGCATCAAAAAATGTTACCAGAATAGTTTATTTTTCTTATGTAGAATCCATTTTGAGGTATGGCATTACCTTATGGGGAAATTCAACAAATAGTAAAAAGATATTCTCAATGCAAAAAAGATTCATTAGAAATATGGCAAACGCTAAATTTAGAGCTTCCTGTAAAAAACATTTCAAAAATCAGTCCATATTAACTTTTCCCAGTCTGTTTATTTATGAAAGCCTTAATTATGTCCATGAAAATAAGAAAGATTATGAAAAGTTCTTATTAAAAATTAATACAACACTAGAAACAAGAACCTTTACAGTTACCCAATCCATCGGACAACAAAATTTGAAAAATGTCCTTTTTATACAGGTTTAAAGCTGTACAACCATTTTCCGAATAAATTTAAACAATTGGCAGTAAATGTTTTTAAAGTTAAAATCAAAGAAATTCTACTGGATAAGGTTTATTATTCCATCCCAGAATTTTTAGGAGACACCTCCTTGGGTTAGTCATTGTACATTTTTGTTGTTATTGTAATTTTCTTGTTTTGTATATAAATGTTTTTTTTCACCATTGTATTTGTTAAAAATATTTATGTAATTGACGAGACACCAGTTACTGCTATAAGCACCAAATGTAACGTTAAACAATTTGTGTCAATAAATCGATTTGATTTTTGATTTGATTTGATGACCTCGCCAAAATGACTTGGTTGTGTGTCAAAATTTTCAATTCAAAATTGTTAGAACAATTTAATCTTTTAGATGATAATCAGCATGGATTTCGGGATGGAAGATCAGTTGTTAGTGCTGCTGTATCTTTTATTGAAACTGTAATTGAGTCGGTTGATAAGGGAAAATGTACAACTCGTATTTTTATGGACCTATATATGGCATTTGACAGTGTTAGACATTCTATTCTACTTGAACAACTTCAAAGACTAGGAGTAGCGAAACAATCTCTTAATTTGGTTTACGTCATATCTCACTGAAAGATCTCAATACGTAGAAATCACCCACTTGACAAATTACAATAGAATTATTAAATCATGCTCAACTTATAAGCCAATAGTTTTTGGAGTGCCACAAGGCTCAATATTAGGGCCCCTGATTTTTGTGCTATCTATGTGGAATGAAAGATTCTTTAATATATAATAAAAATTCAATACTATGTCTGTATGCTGATGACTTGAATTTGATCATATCATTCAACTCAATTGAGCAAACAGAAATGTTCGCTTATGAAGAATTGGAAAGTATCGGGAATTATCTTAATAACCACAACTTGATGATGAATTTACAAAAAACTAAATTTATAATTTTTTAGACAAATCAAAATAGACAGGAGCCAATAACAATAAGCTATAACTTACAAAATATTGATGAATAAATTAGTACCGGTACCAATTTTTGGGTTTAACACTAGATCAGCACTTGAATTGGGATAAACATGTCCACAAAATTTTAAATAAAATTAATTTCGGAATTCTTGCTTTATCAAGTAGGTATGTATTTTTACTGTGATTTCAAAACTTAAAAAAGTATATATTTTGCACATGTGCATTCACATATCTCGTTTGGCATAGCACTCTATGGCTAAAAAAAAGTAATCTAGATAGCATTTTAAAGGAGCGAAAAAGAGCAATTAGAATCATGCTTAAGCTACAGCGTGATGAGTCAGCTAAAGAACATTTTAAGGATCTAAAAATCTTTACTGTATAATTTAAGAAATAAGAACGAAAATGTACAACCGCAGAGGACTAAAGTTTTTGAAAAGAAACCATTATATGCAGGTAATAGATTTTTAAAATTTATTCCAAATAATATTAAACAAGAATTATAGATCCAAACAAATTTTAAAAAATATTGAAAGAGTTTTTAATGAATTTGGCAATTTATTCTTTTGAAGATTTTTCTACCTCCCTCAGTTGCTATGATAGTTGAAATTATCATACTAGATTTATAATATATATTGTTTTTATAACCATTCCTCATGTTTTGCTGTTTTTATCCTTTTGAATTATTTTGACACTATTATTTATTGTAATTATTTTGACACTATTTACTGTCCAATGTACATAAAAATGAATAAAGATATTTGAATTGAATTGAATTGAATTAAGGCCATACCCAGAATGCTAACCACATAGTGGGAGGGGTAGGGCCTCAGCGCCATGGAGATACTCGTTAACCAGTCAATTCCCTGCCTTCCTTGTGACTAGTCGGAAAAAGTTTGTATCGTGCAAATTAAATTCATTTCGCGGTGTTGGTCGGACAAATCTTTTATTTTCTTTAAATCGTTTAGCCTATATCCCGAAAGGATATATTTGCAACGCGAGTGGAAATAAAATCAGTTTTTGCAAAACAAGTGTTAAAAGTTTGCTTTACAGACCAGCACGAACCGCCATTGAAAAAATTTCACGTTCGTCATTCAAAATCAAATCGATCGCGTTTTTTCGAAAACCCGCCTAGTTACAGTTCCCTTTCCCCATCCCAGTGTATATGTCTGTGTCTTTGTAGGACGTCCAAAATTTTAAAGTAGTTTATGTTATTTATTGTTAAATATTAGGTTTCAGTGAGTCGCACATGTGTAAAATTTTCTTGTTATAGTTTGTCATTTCCTGTTATATTAGCACATGTTCTCAGGTTCTAGCTTTCATCAGTATTTTTAATATCAATTTCTTATAAATCAATCTGCATTGTTTAGTATACTGTGATTCTCTAATTATGTAGGATTAATGAAATTGTATAGGATTTTGTACTTATATTGAATGTAATTTGTAAATTATTCTAATTACACCAATTCACGACAAAGTCATTGTTCAATGTTGTTGAGATATTAAATTAGAGGTTATTTAAGAGTGCCACAGTCATTACTATATTTGGGGGAAATTAAATAATATCAAAAGTGGGAGCAGGTAGCTGGTTCGACTAGATACGGAGGTGTTAATGGAGGTCGTGAGAGTTTGTGAATAGATGAACCGCCAAAGTACCTTCTTAGCCATAAAATAATAAGCAATATTCTAGTACATACTACTGCGATTAAACAGAACATTGTTTAATCAATTGGACTACGAGACTCGACCTTCGTTTTTTAATTCGTTGGCCAACGAACAGGATTTGCTTGGTACTGGTCATCTCAAATGTTAAAGTAAATATCACACCTCTTTTGACATGTTCGGAATCAGTGTGTACCGCACCATAACTTCCCTTTTGATAAGTCCATTTGTCATCTTTAAAAAGGAAAAAGGTTTTAATTGATTGTTGCACTCTTAAGTCAGAATTCAGTCATCATTTAACCTTGTAAGACAAAAGACAATCACAAAAATATTTGATAAGTAGTTGCCAAAACAAAATTAAAGTGTATAATTTATATAAATACTGTTCAATAAATCAGATTGTTACTCACTTTTTAGTTCTCAATAACCTTGGCAATTCGTTATTAGCAATAATAGTTATTCAATAGAAGTTTGGTATAATTCAGTAAATAACAGGCCACTACAAAAGATTCACATTTTAAGTGCAACACTAAACACTAGTGTGGTAGTGAGCAGATTAAATTCAGTGTAACTTTAAGATTATTTATTAAGCTTCATATTATTTTGGAAGAACTTCAAACAGTATCAGGGACGTCCCATAAGGATCTCTGGGAAGTATTTTTATTTTATAGGGCCCACGAAATATTTTATAACATCAAGTTTCCACTGCCAAAAGCTCTGTCTGATATTATACTTTCCAAGTTCTTCCAACCCAGGGGCAACCAACATTTGTAAAGATTAAATTGTTAGAGAAATATTGAGGTGATAACAAGGGGAGTGAAAAATATATTTAAATATATAAAAATAGAAGAAAAAGGTTCTTTTTTCTTTACAACATATATAAATTAAAAAGTACCCATGAACTTTTGAGAACACTAAAAGTCACACCCCCATAAACCATATACTTAAAATGTTCGTCATGATGAGAAACCTTGCGCAAAACTATCCATTATATCATAAATTGCCCTACCTCAGCTGTACTTATTTGTTTGTTATTCTTTCAATTTATTACCTTATTAAAATCAGGTGTGATTATTTGTTTGTATTACTGTATTCGGTTTTGTTTATTTCAGTTTAACTTATTGAATCAATCGTTTTAGTAATACCAATACTTATGAAGTCAAAAGGGATAAAGCGCGTGAGTAACAGCTAGTTATTACTAAATACATTTTAAGACAGGACATTATACAATATTAGGCTAAAAGAAAAATTACGAAGCACCTGTGCATTTATCTATAAGCTCTGTCGTTAAAAAGTAATAAACATGATTTGATTTGATTTATAATTCGCTCAACCCGACTGGGATACTGGTAAATTGTGTAAATGTTTGTAAATATCCCTTGAAAATGCCACACAATAGGGTGATACAGAAACATCTAGCTCAAAGAGCTAAAGAGCTAGCTCAATCTAGAATAAAGACAACCCAAATATAGGTAATTTAAAATAACTTTAAAACAAAACTATTGTGGAATAGTAAAAACATATTTATGTGGTTAGAATTTTGTAATAACTAAACATTTACTACAATAATTATTTTAATATTTTCAACCACTGTAAATGTATTTAACCAATCTGCCATCAGTCACATTTACTTATTTATGTGTTTATATTAACAGTAACGAGAGGTCGTCCAGTGGTCGAAACTCGACCAAAAATATGTAATGTACTCACTTAACTATTTTCACCCCACACTGTAAATAAAACATGTGATTGGAGTTTCCTCCATTTGTTTTGATTTTCTGTTTATATTTCGTTGTTATTTCGTAACCAGCATAGCAACGCATAAGATCCATGTTATTTTTTTACAACTTTTAAACTTATTTTTTGTGCTTATCTTTGAGCCTATTTAAATTTATAAAGGGATTCTGCACACCTACAGGAAAATAGCTTTCCAACGGTATGCGTAGATTTTCCCTACGATGCACACGAGCTGAGAAAAAAGGTTTTAAAGAAACATGCTTGCCTATTAATATATAGATAGATATTTACCAATTGTTGAGTTTGTTCATATGGATTTTGTATCCCTAATTCAATGCTTTAAAAAAATACCTTGTACAAATAACTTAGTTCTTGGTAAAAATAAAACATATCCTTAACAAAATTGGAAATTGATTTTGTTTTTGAAATATGAGTTAATTTATTATATAGAACAAAAAAACTTGCTTGTTTGAACACATTGATGAAAAGAAAAGTAAAAGTAAAAACAACCTTAGTGTAGAAGGAATGAAAAAAATCTATATGTATTTTAGTGTGAAAAATGTCTAGTGCTTAAAACATAAGTGAGTTGAGAGCATATCCTACAATACGATACTTGAAGATGAGGAGTCCACCGGCCATCTCAGCGAATATCTTTGCTCCTGCAATAAGGACGTTTATGTTGCCTTCCACCACCTCCTCCAGATGGGTATAAGGACAGGCCGTGGCATCTCCCCAGTTCATAGACCACCAGATGGTCAACAGGAACAAGAAGATGGCGTACATTCCGACGCCAAAGTTGTCTGCCACTGAAATTGAACGATGCCGTGTATTAGATCATATAGTTACGATGCGAACATGTCACTGTGCATATTTTAAGGCAATAATGAATGTTAAGGCAACATAAAACAAAAAGGTAATTTATTAAAACTGTTCTTGAAACTGGGTTATGTTACAAGTTAAATAAATTAATGAGATGATAGCTTAGTTACTTTGTTGTCTGCTGTTTCTATCGACAGGACCATTTATAGTCCCAATGTTTAGGAAATGGGTACAGTTTAAAAACTTTTAGACACACTGAAGTAACCAATAGGGACTGGGAATACTTTGATGGTCTTCTACTCTGCCCTCTACTAAAATGAAAACATGATATTTATCCTAATTCAGTGTTGATTGTTTGGTTGGTTAATTGAGATAAACTTTTAGTGGGTTATTTTTCATATCTAATTGTGAAAAAATCTCAATAATATTTGTTAAAACTGTGGGGAAGGGATTGCAGCAGCACGGGCCCTCCAACTGAGATTTACACATTTCACATTACAAGTGGAATAAAAATGTAAACAAATTTGTCACTAGAGTAACTCAGGCCAGCTGTGATACACCAGTTGTCCTGTCTGTCTCTGTTTTACTGTTGCACCTTTTCTTGTTCCAGGGTAACAATACCCTAAACCTTACTGAGGGTGCCTAATTGCTGCAGATCAAATAATGAATAACAATGAACATGTATCCTCAACTTAATGACACCAACCAATGATGAGTTCGTAGCAGCAAGCACATAGTTCTCCGGCAGCTATCAACTCTAGCAGAAGGACTTTAGTGAGAGTTGACTCTGGAAACACTCTGTCCAGGAGTTTACGCAACCAGAACGCGATGAGAGATGTGAGGACGATGAACCCTGTAGAGACAGCCAGGTGGTACGCTCCGGGGCCTTCTCTGCGGCTGGCTACAACACAGGAGCAAATATTTTATATACAAACTTGTTGTTTGTTTGTTATTTCTGTTTTTCACTCTTAGTAACTACTGTATTTCCACAATATATCCGTGGGTTTCGTGTGTTGTCTATGCTAATGTCTGAATCATCCATTCCCTAGGTTATCAGACCTTCCATCCTCTCTGATGACGATCGAGTATCGTGAAATCTCGTTCCATTTCTGACAAATGGTTGTAAGGTTTCAGTATTCAAATGGCTGTTTTCCATTTGTATGACTGTACACCATAGCAGGTTTGTCATCAACTTCTTTTTCCTACAGTCACCCGACAAAGTTGGCTTCCTTGTACTGTTTATAGTACAGAAAGCTGCTAATTGCTGCATATTTATACCTTGTCGTACGGTTTATACTTTGTCGTACGGTTTATACATCAGGATTCCAACGAAACAACACAAAACAGCGTGGTTCTATTATGCACGTAATCCGTGTACGCTTGGAAATAGGTTGGCAACACTTGAAGCAAAAGAGTAACAAAAAGAGTAGCAAAAGACAAAAGAGCAGTATCAAGGTTGGCTGCCTTGATACTATGAGCAGCTGATTGACTATTATAACTACGATTTAACCTGTCATTTTGTGTTTATAGTTGCGGTATTTGATTTCTAAACTTTCTGGACTTTTCTTTTAAACGTTTTTAAAACATTCCTACGATCTTAATAAACAAGAAAATACCTTTAAAGCATTTTTTTAGGCGCGGAAACCACTTCAAATTACAAAAACATACGGAACTATATTCTCAAGTCGCGGAGCACGTTTCTTGCCGAGGAAAAATAGCGGAGTGATACGGACCAGGGACTACTTTCTCTAGGGCACCTTTTTGTGTTGCCAGCTGAACCTAAAAACGTGTTGTATAGTGTTTGAAAGACTAATTATTTATATGCTATGTAGTGGCTGTATGAAAAATATAATGTGTAACACGAGTGCAAAAGGCCTTTGCTGCACTCGAGTTCATTCTGCACAAGTCGCTCTCGTGTGCAGCAAAGTGCCACTTTGCCCACTAGTTTCACAAATAACTATTGTTGACCTTGACTGTTTTCAGAAGATAGCTATGCACTTGATTGTACTTTCCGATTCTTTTAGCACAAAAAATACTTCACAGTTTGTCAATTTCACATTTGCATATGTCCAAAACATGCTACCCTAAAAGCAACCCCTTTTGTGCAACCCCTCTTGTCTTAATTGCTTCATAAATTGAGACCTGTGTCTGAGTATACTTTACAATTTATGCTTACAGTAGTTGTGTTTTACTATTTTGGTGAACCTTTTTTATAGAAAAAGTAGCCACTAGTGGTTTCTAGAGAAGACGAACTAATAGCTTTGAATGTGGGGTTGTACATCAGCTCCTGCAATAGAGTGCAGTTTTACCTTGTAGAAATAAAACACAGATTCAGGAACTCGATTGCCACAGGTAGATCAACTAAAACGGTAACTCAGATAGTATGAATTTTGGATAGTCAGGACTATACTGTAATAAAAATTAAATTTTCTTTAAGAATAATGATGTAATCTTTAAGAAAATATAATAATTTATTTAAGGTATACCAATTAAGTAATACTAATTGAATATTCCCAAAACCTCATGAAATCTACATGCCAGTATTTGTAGCACATTTTATGGATTTCAAACTAATTAAAGGTTATAATGGTAGCAGGGTTTGCTTTGTTTTTTATGTATTTTAACGCCATCGGAACTTAATATCACTTGTTGAAGGAAATGGTCCAAAATCTAAAAAAAAAAATTAAAGTGGATACTCCAATGAGAATTGTGACGGGAAATAACACACAGCATCATTAATATTTCACATCTTTCAATATTTGTCTTAAGAATAGAATATTTTGACATGGAATTTACTGAAAATGAAACTATTTGTTGAAAATTGTCTATACTTTGATCTTTATAATAAAAATGAAATTTAAAAAACACTGTATCAAATTTTTCTCCATGTTCGAATCAATATTATGAATACTTGGGAGTGACAATTTGGTATGATGTTTGCACTCTTCATTTTCACCATCAAACATTTGAAAGTGAACGATTTTAGGTGAATGACCATAAAGTATAGGTTAACATAACCTTTTTTTATTATGAAAGGAGAGGGGGAGTGGAGTACATGACATTAATGCTACAGTATTTAGAATTTTTAAAGTAAAAGAACTCTATGAATAATGCATTGCACGATGTCCAAAATATAATTTTTGAGCTGTTTAACGACGTCCAGTATAAATATTTCTACTTTGGACGTCGTGGGATTGGCCGTCATGAAACAGCCCACTTTACACTTTTAAAAAAGTAGCAGTTGCAACACGTCCAAAGCCTCTGCCAGTTGCACGATGTCCAATAGCTCAGCGCAGTCCCACGACGTTCAGAGCGCCTGCATAGTGCATACTATTAGTAGGTACTGTTTTACTGTCTTTAGTGCATACCCAACCTAACTTAAAATTGATCTAACCTTGCTCCGTATGCAGAAGTTCTGGACGTCGTGCAACAGCACTGAGATATTGGACGTCGTGCAACTGGCAGTGGCTTTGGACGTGGTGCTACTGCTAAGTTTTCAAGATTATAAAGTACGCTGTTGCACGACAACCAATCTCATGACGTCCAGAGCAGTTACTGTACTTTTGGTCGTGGTGCAACAATCTAATATTTTATATTGGACGTCGTGAAAAGGCTAAAAAATTATATTTTGGACGTCACGACACTGACATATTTCATTGGACGTCGTGCAACACTCACTGTATAAATACTTCTTGTTCACTAGGCAAATGGTTTTAAAAGAGGCGTTAAAATACACTAATAGATTTCTTTAGGATTCCCTGCTGACCAATAATGATAATTTAAAGTGTTAAAAATTACTACGTAGCTCAAAATGAACATAATTTATTATACATTATTCGATGTTGTAAAATGTTTTCCTCTCCTAAGTAATCTGTTTAAAACATATATATATAAATCAAAGTCAGGAGAATTGAGTTTATTTTTACCAAATGCTTGTTTGTATAAAGACGGATAAATCAAACTAAGTAGTAAAATTGTTTGCAAACATTTCTTTACAATTCTGCAAGCAGCAAATTGCTTAAAGAAGCATGCTCATATTCAACTCAATCAATAATGTTACTAAAAGACATCAGCTGAGTCTTAAATTGTTTCAACAATGTACAGTCTGAAAAAAAAACTGTTTTAAAAGTTTCAGGTATTCATTCCAACCTTTATATACTTTAAACATATGTTTGAAACTTGTTATGATTATGTAATGAAGGAGTTCTACATTCAACATTCAATTAAAATAAATATTCAAGGATTGAATCACCTACTTTTTTAAATTTTGGATTTTTTACAAATCCACGCTGGCGCTAATGTAAAAAAATTACTGAAAAAAGTACCTACTTGCTTGTCTACAGGAAATAATATTGGGATAATATTTTAAGAAACTATATAAAAACAATATTTTTGAAACTAATTTCAAACATATTTAAACAAAAAATAGGTAAGTAAAATATTTTGTATCACTGCCAGCAGCAGTACTTGAAAATGAAATATGAACAGCATTAAAACGTTTATGATAATCACTCTTAAAATAACTTTAAATCCAACCCACACCTACCTTTCTTAGAATTCAACTGAAACATGCTTAAAAATTTAGAACTCTGGTTCTTAAATAACTATTGAAAACCTAAACACTTGAAATCAAATCACAACACCTATTAGCTCAGTATAACAGCACCAGGAAACAAATCTTGGAACGCTTTAACAGGTTCTCATTTTGTCAAATGAGCAAAGGAAGACCGAGGCACTGCCGCTAAGTTTGTAACTCGTAACTCGCTCAGTAGCAGCAGCAGCTTGGCAGGGGTCCGAGTGCTAATAATAAACTCAGCATGAGACAAGCATTAATCACTTTGGTTCCCTACCTTGTCTGGCTCTCAGTGTTAACAATTACCAGACAGTAGTGATTTCAATTTTAGCGTGTAATAGCTTAAAATATTAAAATAATAAAATCACTCTGCTTTATGGTTTAAGTTTCATTAATGTTATCGGAGACTCTCTGTGTATAAAACAGAAGGTCCATAATAGCTTTTTGCAGTTTTAAAATTACATTTGGTTCAGAAAATTTGATTAAAGATAGTGAGCTTTTTCTATATTAATAAAACTTATGGCTTTAATTAGAGATATTTCCTGTTAGGAATTCCCTTTTCCATGTGGTTTCAGAAGGCTGCCTGTAAATGTATGGATACAAACAAACTTAACAAGCCTTTAAGTTCTATAGCAACGCTGGTGGCGCTGCCTACGGATTGACAGGCAAAGCTCTCTCAAACCGCTTAATGCTTTTTACCATGCGGTTGGCATTCTGGGTTATAGTAGTACGTTTTCTGTGACAGTGCCAAGATGATAATAATAATAAAGTAAAATCAATATAAATTGAAAGTAGTAACAACAAAATAAATAAACTAAGCAATAACAACAGTAAAACAAAAGATATACTTGTACAAGTACAAAACACACATAGTCAATAAAGGAAAAGGACCCAACACTTAGTTTACAATATTTATTACATTCTAATAATACTTTATAGAATAACAATGTGTGACCAGTAAGCCAATCATGAATCTTATTTTGAATGATTTTAAATCCAACAACTTAAATGATTCTGGAATTTTAAAACAAAAATGTATTTTTTGTTAACTTGTTGAGATTTGTGACTCTTTGCATACTTTTCTTTATTTTCTAGTCTTGGGATTGGTAAAACTAAGTTTATGGAATTTCTTGTTTGATAATTAATTATGAATCTTCTTATATACAGTATATTTAATACACAGTTGTAAGTCAGATTTCTCTAAGACTGGGCCGATCTACGAGATTTATGTGTCAAATTAAAGGGGATAATGCGTATATTTGCTAAATTTCCTTAGAGTTTACGTTTTTTCTAAGGGTTACATCCTACAGCCCTTCAAAGGTTGAGTGAACACAATTCTTATTGAAGAATATAAAATTCACTTATAATTATTATAAACTAGCAGAGTACCCGTCCTTCGTACGGGGTTGGCAAATAAGTATAAAATACTTATTGCAGTTATACCCGATCTTTGCGTTTGCGATGTGAGAAAACATGGTTTGAGAAAATTTGTTTCCTCAAATTTACGGTATGCAATAGTATTACACATCTACCATAGCCATAATGTTCTACTACTTCACCTACACAATAGAGAAAGATAGCCTAGATTATTAAAAAATCGCAAAATATCATAAATTATTCATGAAATTAAAACATAAACATAACTGTAAACATCCTACTTTGACAGTTCTCATTGTGTATCACAGTTTTTTGTTGCTGCTTAGTTCAAACTAGTGAACCTGTGCGGCTCAATGCCCCGCAAAATAGCATGTGAATTTAGAAAACAAATTCATCTATTTTGAGGGTCTTACAATGCTGTTTGAAGAATATAATTTTAAAAATAAACACAAAAAAAAACAATATTTTTATCACAAAAGCACTTCCACGAATACTACGATTTTAGTCTTAAAGTTACCTTCAGGAAGATTACCCTGGTCAGAATTTTCGTAATGAATATGCGTATCCTATTAAAAGATGTAGCCTTACTTAAAACAACACACAATATAGTTGCTCATGACTGAAATTGATCTGGGTAAGAACAGTGCTGATCTTTAAATAAAGTGCTTGTGCTGCAAATGCCAAAGATAACATAAATTAGCATCTTTCCATTTTAAAAGGTAACTTAAGTTTGTTTCAGACGGGCACATTTTTATCCTCCAAATCAAAATATGTCCCCACTCACTTGTCCCAGTTAAGACTTTACATTCTATTAAGTTGTTAACCATGCTGATCACATGAAGCCTTGTGCCATTAATGAGGCCCTTTTTGATGTATTAATATTCCACATCAATAAAACCACTGACCCCTTTTATTAGTCTAATCTGTGTCTTGGCAATCCACTGACCTCTATATTTAAAAACTCAGTTGGAGTTTCTAGATGGGTGTCTCCGCCTTTGTCTGTTTTGGAGGACCCACTCTTCTTCCCCTTGGCATACTGACAGTTAATTACCTAACTTGTCAAGTTCATGTACTTTAATACTGTTAGTTTATAAAGAAAATTAGATAAAAGTCACTTGGTTTGGTGCTTTCATAACTGCAAACTCAAAATACGTACCCGGAAGTAAAAAAGACTCAAGTTATTGGTTAAAAAAAACTATGTTTGTGTAACAACATTATTCACATGAAGTAGATGATTATTGTTTGATTTGTCAATCAGCTGTTTTGTTTAAAATGATTTATGTTTGATTTGTCAATCAGCTGTTTTGTTTAAAATGATTTAATAATGTCAAAGATATACGCCTTGGATTTGTGGGTACTTTCCTGTTAAAGGGAACATTCGTTATTATCGATGATTTCTTTTCGATATATCGATATTTTTTTTTTACTTCACGATTGGTATTCCTTCTGTTTTAATATCTGCAAACGCATTTAAATTACAAATTAAGAACTAATCTTGTTTAGGCAAAAAAAAAAATAGCCTATATATTGGATTAGGACATCAAAACTATTCTAAACTAACCTAACATAACTAACCAAACTTGCTGTATAGGCTAAGTTACCGTTTCAAAATTCCATTTGATAACAGAAAAGGCATATGGGGAATAGGCTATCAAACGGAATTTTGAAATGTTACAGCAAGTTTGGTTGGTTAGGTTAGCTTAGAACAGTTTCATTTCAATAAAATAATTTTTTAAATTGTTTGTTGATACTGAACAATATTTATTTAATGTATCCTATATTGCACTTGTCAGATGATATGTTTCAATTTGTTACTATCAATATAACAGATGGAAAACAAAAATATCGATATATCGAAAAGAAATCATCGATAATAATGAATGTTCCCTTTAACAGGAAAGTACCGATTTGTGATTTTAAATACATAAATTATTATAGTAAAGTTTTCTAAATCATGGTAACTTATTCTCAACTAAATTTTACTATTCCCAGCATTAAAATAAAGTAGGGCCTATTAAGATCCATTATGGGTAAACCTTAAGGTACACAATCCTTGATTGAAATGCAGTATACATTAACAGTCATAACACACAGCAATTATTATGTAGTAGACTTTGACTATTTTCAAGTAACAAACTTATGTTTCTGTAAATAAAAATCATCTCCCATGTTATCCTTATGGAGAAATATGAAACTTTAAAAGTATATTTCACTACTAGTCACGAAAGTGATCTATTTCGGGGATCGATAGTGTTTTACATGCGAGTCGAAGACGAGCATGGTAGAAACACTATCGAGCCCCGATAAGGGACTTTGTGAAGAGTATTGAACAATACTTTTTATTACAATGAAAAAAAAAACTACTTCATCAAACTTAAAAAAATGATCTAATATTTCATTTAACAACTGGGAACATCAGTTGTAACTTTGTTGATGTTAGGCATATTTTAAGAGATTTCCACTGGGGGACAGTGGCACCGGACTTACCAGGGGGGGGGGGGTCGGATCGGGGTTGTTCCACCCCCTAGCAAAAAGGGGGGTACAGGGATTCTACCCCGGAAAATGTTTGCATAAATTAAAGTGAAAATCAGACATTTCTACGTATCTTTTCAAGGAATTTTCCGATTATATTTGTTTGTAAATAGTACATATAATCTCACTTAATTACGTATTCTAAAACATTGTAACAGGCCAAGGCGCTCCCTTCACAACCTCTTGGGCCAAAATCAAGCCTGTTAATCACTTGTTTACTTAACAGAAGCTAAGAATACTCTTAAATATTAACACAATGTAATTTTTTCGAAAACTTTTAAAATTCTGATAAAATTTAAATGTGAATCATAAAAAAAATGTGCCGGCACCAACCACACAGCCACCGGGCGACAAAATCTCAGCACTAGGCGACACTTACTTCCGGTGGCGGTTACATGTTATTTTATGCCATGGCAAAGTATTGTTTGTGTAGCAAAAGTAATGTTTATGTCAGGCAAAGTCAGCTGTTCACTACAGTATTTGTTTTTGGTGAATGGAAATGTGCTATTTTCGAATACAGAGTGATGAAAAGTGTATTTTAAACTATTTATAACACAATCTTTTATAACCAAAATGTGTTAGTCTTTTTTTTTAAGGAAAGTGGTAATTAAGTTTAAGTTTGAGTATGTCATTTATTTTCACATAACGTTTACAAAACCAGCAGAGCTGGGAAACAGGTGACATAGTCATAAACAATACACTTGACAACTAAAACTAAATACTATGCTAAGAAATTATTCAAACACATAATTTAACAAATCATTCATACTTTATAATACATTCTATCTATCAATGAGTAATTTTGCAACTTCCTTTTAAACTTTTCAAAACTTTCCATTGATTTGATACTATTAGGTAGTTTGTTATACATCTTTTTCCCAATGTACTGTGGAAGGGTTTCAATTGAGGCAAGTCTATGAATGGGCCAGCTGTAAATCGTTTCGACGTCTTGTTAAATAATTATGACTACAGTTTTCATTCAAATAATATTCCAGATTTTTTTAATTACAAGTAAAGTTTGCAGAATTGATGGGTGTGTTAGTATTTTCAGTTCTTTGAATAATGATTTATACGATTTTTGTGATTGTGAAAATGTCATAATTCTTAGAACCCTTTTATGAATTTTGAATATGGTTTTGGCGTTTGAGCAGCTGTCCCAGAACTCTATTCCGTACAACATGTTTGACACAAAAAAGCATAGAAAACAATCATCTTTGTCTTGAGGTCAGTAACATGCTGCAGGACATACATCTGGAAACAAACTGTATT